ACATCTGTGGCATTATGCAGTGATAAAACTGCACATTTTAGAGTGGCCTTTTATTGTGGCCAGCCTAAGGCACATCTGTGCAATAATCACAAATTTAGACAGATTTGTGAACAATACGTATTTGAGAGAAATAGCCTAGGCCTTTTGTGTACAGAGAAAAAGTCTTCAGCTTCAGAGAAAAGAGTTCAGCTCAAGGAAAATGTGGGCAAAAACAAAAGTGTTGCGTTTTTAATTTTGTTATTTGTGTATTTACAGTGTATACACAGTATTCACATTTCTAGGATGTCTGCATTTAATAAATTAGGGTCTGTAGATTTTTAGATACATTCTAGTAGAGAATTGTTGGCATCCACTGTGGGGTTTTCTCTCTAAAAGAAGAGCATCATGTCATATTTGATTTGTCATCACACTCCTGAGCCTGAAGCCAGATCTGAGCTCCTGTAACAGTTCTGTCACTTTTCATTTCACATGTGTGCATACTTAAAGGAACCAGTGACGCAGGGTTTTGAGCTCAAGTCTTTTATTCTTATCAACCACAAACCAATGGTTAAGACATAATTAATTTGTCATAAACTGATGATTCAGCCATGTATTTCTAAATTTCATGTTCATATGTGTTTTATAATATTTTTGAGAACCACAGATACTAGTACAAAATAATTAAAAGCCCATATATATATATATATATATATATATACACCAAGAAACTGACAGTCAGTATGTTTATTTTTAAAGAAATTAATACTTTTATCCAGCAAGGATGCATCAAATTGATCAAAAGTGACAGTAAAGAATGTTCAATGCTTTTCTTTTAAACATTCCATTCATCAAAGTATCCTAAAAAATAAATAAAATAATGGTTTCCATAAAAATATGAAGTAAAAATATGAATAAATAAATTACAATTTAAAATGTATTTACTTATTTTAAATAGTAATAATATTTAACAATATTACTGTTTTTACTGTATGTTTGATCAAATGAATGCAGCCTTGGTGAGCATAAGAAACGCAAAATCATTTGTGTTTTGATGACTAATAATGTTAATATACTGTAAAGGCAGAGGCCTTGGTCCCATGATTGTACACTGTAAAAATATTGTTGGTTTAACAAATAATTAAGTAACCTGGTTGCCTTAAAATTTTAAGTTGATTGAACTAGAAAAAAGTGAGTTAATACAATGAAGGAGATTGATTTAATCATCAAGAAACTCAAAATAATAAGTTATCTGAACTAAATCAATTATTTAAGTTGATTTGACAAAAGAAAAAATGTTGCGATAACAAATCTTGAAAATATTTTTTTTTTTACAGTGTACCCCAAAATACACTCATTTGTTCTGCAGCAATTTCCTGTTTAAATAATAGTGTCTTATAGCAAATATTATAGCAAATCACATTCATTGGTCATTACAAAATAAACAGAAATATTAGTGGCTGCAATCCAAAATTGCATACTTCCAGTAGGCAAAAAACAGTAGTATATGTCAGAATTCACAAAACACTGCCAAAAAGTACCCGGATGACATTCTTCTGGTTAGATTTACTTTACTATCCCAAATCTTCCTGGTCTAATGACATTATTTATGACATTAGCTTCAAACATTACAATACTCATGATAACTTCCATTAACTCTACTTTATTTCCATTTCACCGAGCCCGTTCTCATCCCAAGGCGTCATATACGACGCTTTTGCCAAAACGTAGACACATGGCTCTGATGGAACCCTTTAGTGTCAAATGAGACGCAGATATATATATGGAGCAGAAGGCGCCTCCTAGTGGTCTAACCCTAACCCTACCCCATACCTAAACCTACCATAACCAAAGCGTCTCATTTGACACTAAAGGGTGCCATGTACGTTGGATGTCTTTGGCAAAAGCATCGTATATGATGCCTTGGGATGAGAATGCGTTGGTTCACCAGCTATATACTCTTCGACAGTGATGACATAGAAGTATACAGAATTACAGCAAAAACAGACGTTCAAACACAAATTTCTAAAGATGGCAGCGCTCAAGGTGTGTAGGCCCACATCCACATTTCTTTGGTCTGAAAGAATGTTCAATGTTGTATATTGAATGAAACAATCTAGATGTCCCTGCTTTATATTGCCAACAGAAGTTTATGTCAGGAAAACAGAGCCCTGGTTTGTTTAGATGACTAGAATGTGAGTCATTTCGCCAAGTACTCTGACTTTAGCTTTCTTAGTCATAATGCTTACAACTAAGGGGTGATTCTTGACATATAATCCATTACCAAGTGGAAACCAGTTATTCAAAATGATTCATTGGTGCTAAGATACAGACAGAAAGATAATTTTGCCCATGCTAATGTCTTAGCAACTCTGTTTTAAGAAAACACATAACCAGCCATATCCCTTCCCTGCTTACTAGTCTTAATCCAATTTCAGCAACACGTTACATTCGCTTTTTAGAAGCTGGTAGATATTTGGCCTCTGAAGACGTTTAAGATTACACTTGTGAAACTGATTCTTTAGTGTGGTGCTCACGCTATGTCTACATTTAGTCATGCAAAAGTGAAACGCTAAAAGTATTTGAAATGGTCAGAGGGTTCAGAGCAACATACACTGTATTATAACTGTAATTCTGTCTAGTACTAACCCAACAAAAGTGAATAAATGGATGTGAAGCAGGGTGCTATTCTGTACCAAATTGATGTCGGTTGATTTAAGAGATTTTTTTAAGGTAATTACTGTATATTATAATGTTGTGATTCACTCTTAGCATGTATAACGATTGCAGTTTTGAGTGTTTCATATTTTTTTGACACAATTGCGTAGAATTTTAATTAATTTTGGCAACACTTTACAATAAGGTCTCATTTGTTTACATTAGAGCATGAATGCATGAACATGAACTAACAATGAGGAATATGTTCTGCATTTATTAACCTTTGTTAATGTTACCTAATAAAAATGTTGCATGTTCTTTTTAGCTCACTGTGCAGTAATTAATGTTAATAAAAACAACTTTTGATCTTAAAAAATTATTGGTAAATGTTAAGATTAACAATTAACTACGATTAACAAATGCTGTAAGTATTTTTAATTTTTATAGTTCACGTAGCTAACTAATGTTTTTAAGTCCCTCTGTAGTCAATAAATTTATTCCTTTTTTGCCTTGCTTTTTTTCCCTTAAAAAATATGCTTCATGCCTTAAATTAACTTGAATGTAACCTTACACCCTTGCCTCAGTGTGTTCTATGAATATGCAAATTAGCCCTGCCTCCACTCACACCAGCTCAAAGATCCACTACATTCACAACCTTTGTAAAGAGAAAATATTCAACAATGGAGTATTCAAGGTTGAGTTATGAATTTGCACATGGTTTGTCTTAAAGCATATTAAAAACACCACACAGACATATAATCAACATTAAAAGCTGTCACCACATGGTGACTTAAACAAATGAAACCTTATTGTAAAGTGGTACCATTTTAATATTGCATGGAATTTTAATATTATATTAATGATTTTTTGGATATCGGGCACCATGCAAATAATTAGTATCAGACAGAATTTGAATATTAGTGCATCCCTATACATAAAGCAAAAACACCAGAATCTATTGGATTCACTGATTCAGAATCAACGAATCAGTACACAAAAAAAAAGTTGCTGCCTTAATTTTTCATTACAATTATGATGTTTAAGTCATTTCAACATTCAAATTCTCTATTTGGGTCATTTTGACCCGATTTTCTTTTTTATTTAGAGCACTGGAAAAAAAATTGGAGTAGGATTTACTTGAAAAAAGCTAGGCAAAAAATTTACCAAGTAAAAGATTTGCCAAGTAAAAACCTAAACATATTTATCAGTACAGCTTTAATTAGAAATCTTTAAGTTAAATTTACTTGGAATATGGAATTAAGTAAAATCTACAGAAAATAAATAATTTTGACTTAGTTAGTAAAAGGTTAATTAATATCGATTTAGTAGAAATTTCCTTTCCTTTGCCATTACATTTCACTAAAACAATAATATAGAATTTGTTTAGTCATTTATAGTATGTGAATTACTTAGATCATTTAAGTCATTTATATTACATGTCAGATGTTAAGCATCATTTGAATGCAAAGACCTCAATACTACAATACACAATGGCGGTAACGATGGGTCGTTTTTGTGTCTGAATGTGTCATTTTGGGCAAAGTATTTACACGTCACAAAATGGCAAGTTACTAATACCGACAACAAAAATCAATGATAAAACAGTGTAAATACAGCTGGAAACCAGTGAAAAATGAACCTCATTAATTATTCAAGGTCCAGTGCATATCCCAATCCCAGTATCAGATACTTAATTTTATTGAGTTTATATTTACATTTTCATTTCTAATCGCTTGAATTAAGAACTGATATGGAATTTACTTTACTCAGTAGTATTTACTTCACCAAAAAATATTTTTTTACAGTGTGTTCATCGGAACATCATCTGGACTTTTGTGACACTTAAACCATGAAAACACACACACACACACACACACACAAACAAAAAGACTGGATTTGAGGAGTTTATGTGGGTGAAATAAAAAAGTAACACATCCTTCCCTCAGGGGTCAATTTGAGCCCCTTAGATATGAACAGAAGGCAAAGAATGCTTCAGTATACATAGAAAAAATGCTCAAAATTAAAACTAAAAATGCTAAAACACTACCACAATTTTTTATGTCTACATGTGTATCTGAATTAATACTGAAGAGAAAAAAGGACTTTAAGAAAAAAATACAAAGTATAATTTTAGGGCTTCGAGAGGGAAGGATTTATTAGAAGGATGAAGGTTTTAAAAAAATGTAAAATTAAAAAGTTGAATCTTGTATAACTTGTAATGTAAAAATATGTTGTTATAACTTATTGATAATATCGTTTTTTTACAGTGTAACCAGAGCTTTAGCGTTGGACGAGAATCAGCACATAGATTTGTTAATTATAGCACAATAACTGAAAAGGGGAAAACAATTATGGAGAAAGCAGACTTACAAGGCATAACATTTTATTATACAGATAAATACCATAACTTTTCAAATTACAGAAATACGTGGGGCTCTATGGGCTCGAAATGTAACAGAGATTTTTTTTTTTTTTTTTTTTTTGCATTGAAGGGTTCAAACAAGGATTCCTGCATCCTCAGCATTTCAAGACACATTGAATCATATATAGTTTTAGAGTTTTAATTCTGATGTGTGAGATACAATGCTGAATATAAAGGAGCTAAACTGCTTTTGACAAAATACAGTTGTGCATTTCTGTAGAAAAATATCGTAGAACTCGTATTGTAATGGCTGTGCTCTGTAAAAATTCTTATAAATAGATATAGTATATAAATGTCTTTTGTTTGTGCAACATCTGTTTTTAGAAAAATAATTAATTCATTGTCCTGTTATAAGAGCTCCAAACTCTCCTTCAGAAAACATGTAAAAAGAGCCCGTACACATTGCACCGCATTGTTGCACAGAATTGAAATCCAACCAAATAAAACACGTCCTTAAGAGTAAATTTTGATGCCTTAAACATTTACCTCAGATTGTTTTGAATCAGATATACAGGTGTTAGTCCATTTAAAGTCTCCATGCAAACGAAAACTAAAAGCAAATGAGGGTTTGAAGAAGAGAAAGCCCTTGTACACTCACCAAACACTTATCTAGAATTTATCACACGATATCTAGAATTATATATATAATAATAAATAAATCATTAATAAACCTTCCAAAGAGGAAAAATGCACATAAATATGATAAGAAGAATAACAAACAGAAGTTCAATTTCCAGACGTACCAAAAGAAAATCATTTTACAATATAGTGGCACATTTAAAATAGATTCCCAATGACTGCGTCGGTCAAAATTTGCATACTACAGATTTAAGACAAAGACTTCATCTCGTACGAGGCTTTTTCCTTTATTTCGTTTGAGGTAAACTGAAGTACTGTTAAAGACTCTTAAAGGCAATGTCCTACTTCCTCTAGCGCCACCCGACTGTGGTACTACCTGACTTTTGATTTCCAAAGCATCCAAGGTCACAAGCATGCAAGCAAGCCCTCAACGACTTTATTTCCGAAACATCTCACCTGCTGTCACACGTCATACCTGACATCTGAAGCACGACAACTCTTCCACAACATCGCATGCACAATGGCATAGGCTTCATTTACATAACATGACAAACAGTCGATTCCCAAAATTCAATAAATAACACACTTTATAAGACTTTTTGATTGGTTTTGCCATGTTTAGAATGCATCAAAACTTGAAACTTTTCATTTATTGTTTTTCCGTCTCAAATGGGACAGAACTACAATGTCCCTCATTGGTGAAAGATTAAACTCTGTAAGTGTAAAAATAAATCATATTGCACATTTTTAATAAATAATATAATATTTTCCCATTTTTTTTAAATAGTACCAATACTCACACACAAAAAAACTGGTAGTGATTTTTTTGCTTCGTATAATTCAAACACGGTGTTGATTGAGGTGAACAAACAGAAAGGAAAGAAAGAAAGATACATGAAACGTGACGAGTACAGTAGGGAGCTTCCGAGAAGAACGAAGGAGACGCTAGAAGAAACTGCAGTGGGTCAGTAAAGGGTGTAAGACGGGACGAGTGACACCGCCGTACGCGTTCGGTTTCCTCTCACTGGGAGGGACGCCCGCTGCAGCAAAGTCCCCTGAACGCATTCCTCTGGCACTCGGAGCACATCTCCCAGTTACACGTCAGATGGTAAATGAGTAAGGCAGCTGCTCTTGCCCATCATGTAAAAGTGCATCATCAAACATTTCCAGTTAAGTCTCTGCCAGAAGCCAGAGACCCATGAAGTGGCTGATATTAAGGCTTTCTATCAGCAGATTTGTCACGTCACACTGCATTCTCTTCTTCTGTTTCCATTTTAATGGTAATTTTTCCCCCCGAAATATTTTCGCCTCGTTTCCCAGAGCCGCATGACATTAGACCATGTCATTTTCAAGGATGATGCTCTGGATTTCAAACTCCCGTGTGTTGATTCTTCAGCTCTCTCTGCTCTCTGGAGACTGCCCGGTGCCGTTTGGATTTCAGAAAGGTCATTGACACAACTGTGTGGGTTGCCATCCAACACTAAATGCATAAATGTTATACAGGGTTAAAAGTCACAATGCATCCAGAAAAATGGAGCTTGGGCTAGTTGCCACAGGGACTGTTGCAGTTATTTTGTATGTTGGCTTTAAACACATTGTTCAAAAATGTGTTTTTCTGTGTGAATTCCATCCTCCAAACTGCAATAATTTCACTATTAGTATGAATGAACAGGCTGAGTTCACCGTAAAAAGTTGCTGCCTTAAGGCGGGTGTACACGGTGGGATTTTTTTTGCTGTTTTACGAGCTCGCAGATGATTTTTTTTCACTCGGAAGAAATCGCGTGTAAATTGGTTATGCTCGCATCGTGAGCGAGGAAGATACGAGCCGAGCACCTCTCGACCTCCCGATAATTTTTAAGCATGTCGAAAAAGTTCGGGAGCTGTCGGCTTGCATTCGTGAGGTGTGTGCGGTTGAATGAGCTGAGGAAATCCACAGAAGAAAGACAAAAATGGTGTGGACTACTAGAAAGAATGCTTCAATTAATGTTTTTATAATGACTTTGTGAAAGGTTAACTAAACAGCATCTGCTGTGTTCCTACTGGCCAGTATTTGGCATATTTCATTCTGAAACATCTGTAGGCTATTATGCTATTGTTTTTGATAGTGTTGTACATTTCTTACAGATTCTTACACATCACGATGATCATTACATTTGTATCTTCCTAAAATCAATTACAGTTTATCTAAAAAACCTTAAAATGCACCTTAAAATGTGTAGATCAAGAACATCGAAAATTCCTAAGTGAGAGATCCTAAGTGATCACAAGATCACTTTTGGGACCTCAGTAGGCTAAAAATGTTGCCAGATATTACTACGAAAAACAAGCAAAAACTAACAAAAACAAAGAAATTATATAAAAATCCTAAATAAGTTCAAAGCTTGTGTTTTGGAAATAAGATTAATATATTACGAACCACTTTAATAACTTCCTAACACAGTGTCCTAACTACACGCGACACGCGATAAAAGGTATCTTTTCCATGTTAATCAGAGTTTTTGTCCTAACCAGACGCGACGACGACACGCAAAGTTTATAATTTTTAAACAGTTTCTGCGACGTCGCGGCTGACAGAATGAAGAAATTACACTGGTTATGAGTATACATTATTTATTTTTAGTTATAAATAGGTCAGTGTGCCACAAGCGATAACGGATAATTTACCTCAGATTTTGAAAGCATGTAATATAGCGTTCAAAATGAATTCTATGCAAACATACAACTGTACTTCATAACAAAATTAGTCAATGAGTATATTTTGTTAATGTTTTGATTTTTAATAATGTTATTTCTTGATTTGATTATGTCCTTACCCATTTCCAATGCAAGTGCGGGCCAACAGTGCGCTTTCGAGACTCTGCTCACACGCTGTTCTGAATGTGTGTGTCTCACAGTCGCGTCGCGTCTAGTGTGGACAGACACACTTGCTGTCGCTGGAATTTTATCGTGTCGCGTGTAGTAAGGACACAGTGTAAAGTGTGACATTAATCCAAAAAACAAGACCAGATTGTCACTTTTCCATTATGTGGATCTGACAACACGGGATCTGGCACCAGCGCCATCACTCACAACACGCTCAAGCTCACTCAAGCCCCATTCACGGCGCTATAGCTTCACACACAAGGGTGACCGGACGTCCGTTTCCCGGTGCTGAAAACGAGCCTATAGCAAAATAATCACGGCTTGTATCATTATTTTATATGCAGTTATGAGAGTTTTTAGTGCGGAACTTCGTGCGATTTCTTCGGAATTCAGCAGGTTGTAAAATTGTGTCGTATATCACTGCCTCAGTACGTTGTTTGGATAAACTCACTCGTAAAGTGTGCCTGGACATACGATCTTCCGACCGTCAGAATTCGTACCGTGTACGCCCACCTTTAAATGTTCAAATATATTCAACTTGGATGTTTAAGTCATTTCAAATTAAACTACATTAAATTGATTTATTTGATCAGTAATACAGTAAAAGCTGTAATATTGTGAAATATTATGACAATTTAAAGTAATCGCTTTCTATTTGATTATATTTTGAAATGCAATTTATTTCTGTGATGCAAAGTTGCAATTTCAGTGTCACACAATCATTCAGAAATCATTCTAATATGCTGATTTGGTGCTCAAGAAACATTTCTTATTATCATCAATGTTGAAAACACTTGTGCTGCTTAATTTTATTTTATTTTGATACATTCTTTTTGTCAGGATTATTTGATAAACAAATGTAAAACAACAGAATTTAATTGAAATCTTAAAACTAGGGCTGTCAAACGATTAATCGCGATTAATTGCATCGAAAATATGTATAAAAGTATACAATGTATAAAGATTCATAGTATAGATTTGTATATAAATATCAATATTTTATATAGAAATAATATTTTTTTCTTAAATATACATGCATGTGTGTGTATTTCTATATATACAAAATAATTATACACAGTGCACCCACATATATCATGTAAACACAAACTTTTATTTTGGATGCGATTAATTGCGATTAATCATTTGACAGCCCTTCTTAAAATCTTACTGACTCCAACATTTTGAACTGCAGTGTTTAAAGAAAAAAGCTTACCTTAAATGGTAGTGTTTCATGTCAGGAAATGGACAAAAATGATTGCCAATCCAATGTTCAAAAGCATAACCATTGCAACCAAAACTGAGTTAGGACCCTGGGTAAAAAAGACACATGATGTAACAATTACAGCACAATCCATAAAAGACCTCTGTAAGGTAAACAAGACACTTAAAGTAGCCAAGCACTTACAGATTCTTCCACTAGTGTTTCATCTGCCATATCTATGCTGGCTTTCTTGGTATCAGCTAAGCTCTTTGGTTTAATGGACTCTTGTTTCCTGATTTTGGGCTCTGGTTTGGGAGTGGGTGTCCTGACCAGTTTGGGTGGCGGAGGCATCCTGGCCAAGCTAGACTGTGTCATCTCAGGCTCTTCATCTTCTGGTTCTTCTGGTGGAGGCATCTTCGACACTGGCTTCACATAGTAACTGTGATAAGCAGCATGTAGCTGCCCATTACCTGTGCTCGCAGGTTTGGGCGGGGGCATAAGGGTCTTGGGGGGTTTTGGTGGGGGCACTTCCTGTAACTTGATGGCCGGTACAAGAGGAGGGGCGGATACTTTGGTGATCTCTGCCACAATGGAGGCTCTCTCTTCTTTGCTTATCTTGCGAGCTACACTACTACCGTCCTTGCTTATCTTTCGGGCTACGCTGCTGTTGTCTTTGCTTATCTTGCGGCTGGCACTGGGGTTGGGTGCTTGGCTCTTCTGAGGAGAGGGAGGAGGTGACGGGTTTGGGCTCTGGACAGGAGAGTGGCTTGGAGTCGTGCCGTGGCGATAGAAAGGGCTGGTAGAAGACTTCTCCTTCTCCTCCTCCTCTTTAGGTGCTTCCTCCTTAATCTCCTCCACCGGCTCATTGAACTTTTGTTTGATGTAGTCAAGTCCTGTAAGAAAGGGATCACATGTTGGGAGAAAGTTAGGGATATTACAAACTAGAACAGGCAGCCAATAAAACTAAAGAACAATCCAAAAGAGATTCAAGGATTCAATACAAATTAACCAGCATTTTGACAGCAAACTTAACTTCTCTTTAGCCATATATTAAGGTGGCCTTGTTATGCTGTTTTAAAGGTTCTTCATTTCAGTTCAGTTTTGGAGGTTTCCTACAACAGGAAACATGCATCTAAATTTAAATGTTTAGTCTCTCTAAAGCCCTCCTTTACATGAGGTTACTCAGCTCTGGTTGATCTGATGGCCCAGTCTGTTGTGATTGGGCGGGTCTAAGCGATGTTGTTTGTGGAAAACCATATGCCGGCATTATGCAAATTCATTACAAACCCCTGTAGGCATTTTTATATTCAGTAATATTCTTTAAAATGAGATACTAGTAACATGTTACATCCATGGATATTCCAAATCATAGCAACCAAATCATACATTTTAATTATTACACTGCATGAATGAAAGGGTAATATTCTAAAAAGTAAATCATTTGATAACAATATATATATATATATATATATATATATATATATATATATCGATTTTTACCTGTTTTGGAAAGTCATGGAAATACTATAATGGATTTTACTAGAGTAAATAGAAATCCAAATATTATATTTACTGTCATCTCCCATTCACTACTATAGATGTATGCTGACTTGTGACCCGGAAATGTGAAAGGGTCCATGCAAACCCTCTCAAGTCTATTCTGTAAAATAAAAGCCACTCTGTGTAATGTGTGCAATCCGTTCTGATTCCCAACAAAAAATATGGTTCACTCTGCCACCCAGTCAATGAAAACTCTTAGTGCATCTAGAATAGATCAATTAACTTAGAAGCCAACAGCAAAACTATGAATGACGCAACGCTGAGTTTGCATAACAGAGCTTTCCGGGAAAATCATACGGCTCGAACTAGCTTAAGCCCAAACAATTTAACTGCAGTTTAATTCACTTGACATCTCTGGCATCCATGATGACCAACTTCAAAGAGTGAGAGGGCATTCTTAATGTTTAAATGGCTTAAAGGATCTTCTAAACATAATTTCTCACAATAAGTTGATAAGAGCTCACAAGGGTCCATTCTGTTTCTTCCTGTCTGAACAGAACTTCTGTCACAAGTTCCTAGCATTGTCTGGGTTATTTACTGACCTAAAGGGACCATGGGACCATAATTCACTGCCAAACACATAAGCCTGTTCTTCTGCCATTTACAGAAGGCACTGATCTACTCATATGACCAGCTATTGACAAGCTGAAGTAGAAAACAGAATTAGTAACTGTTAAAAAGTTAGCAAAGTTAACTGTTCTTGATCATTAAACAACATACTAATGCAAAAAAAAATATGTCTCTATCAACACTAAGGCTGATTTTGAACATATGATGTCACATGTGTTACATGCCTTTGTGTAGAGTGTTATTCTCCATCCAATGGCAATAACTTAATCTTGTAGTTGCGCAGCAACTTAAAAATAAAGTCCACATAATGCTCTAAGATTGCTTTGATCTCTCTTTAATCCTCAAGCAAGTCTCTGAAAGTGGCGGACTGCTACCCTGGGAAGGCACAATAGTAAAATACTGTATTTTATGTAAACAAAACAATAAATACAATGCACTTGAGCAAATTTTAATAATAATTTAAATTAAAAATCATCTTAATAATACACCATGCATGACTATAAAATTAACTAGCGCACATAACTACAATGACAACTGAAAAACTAATGTCCTATTGTGATAGGGGATTAGACCAGTGATTCCCAAATAGAGTTACATGCATTAGAGTTACATACACGATTTTTTCTGTAAAAATATATATATAAAGCATTCAAAAGATTCAAATCTTTACAGGTATATATCTAAAATATTTTTTCAGTTTATTTTTATATTTTTACAGTGATATATGAGAGGCAGCAATACATACAAAATATAATACAAATAATAAATAATATAATAAATAAATAAATACAAAATATTAATCTGTTCTCAGATGAAACAACAACATTTTCCAGGGCAACCACTGTTAGAAGATGAAGATGAAGGCAGATTCAAAATAAAAACGAGGTTTAATCCACAAGCAGGCGATAAAACATAACAGCGTGTGTAACACACACAAACAACAACGGAGGAGAAAACATAACTTAAGAGCAGATTCAAACAAGATAATTAATCAAACACAGCTAAATCCAACAAACTAATAACTTGTGACCATAGAAACAAAGGAGAAGCGGGAAAATCAAACAAATGAAAACAATGAATGAAAACAAACTAAAAGTCCATGAAAACTGAAACTAACTGAACATAACTGAGAGTGCATCCTCCACAGGGAACAAATGATGAAGAGGGAGGGATGGTGGGGATTTGCAGGTGGCATGGTGATATATCATACTATAGCATACTTTTGTAACGGTCGTGAAGTAAATTCAAATTCAATAGTACCTATTTAGACAGTATGAGATTTTGGACAAAAAGGGCAAAACTGTGTTATAAATGCGTAAACCAAATCAGTACAAATGAATTACAAGCATGTAGGGCTGAAAAATAAAAGGTAATTTCAAAGAAAAATACCATAGGTTTATAAGAATAATATTTTCTCTCACGAGACGTTCTCTCGTATTGCATAAGTCACTTACGCTGTTTCGCATCATTTCTGGTTTGTTTTATCGCGTGTTTTTTTGTGACAAAACGTGGTTTGTAGACAAGATAGAATCGTTGGGTGACAGAGTTGTTGTCAACTCGTGTAGTGCGTTACCTCCTGTTGCGGATCAATCACGTTGTGTCGTGTGGTGCGAACAGCTCAACAACTTGAACACTGCTGATTTCACAGAGAGCAAGTCATGTAGTGTGAACTGCACAGTTCAGCCCGACGTTTTAAAATCATGTGGTGTGGACTAGGCTTAGCAACTTACTTACGCAATACTCGTTCCCTCTTCTAGATAGAACCGAGGTTACGTTAGGGAACCGAGTACGTTTCTTTGTGTTGTCTAGAGATGACGGCATATTCCAGCACCATTAGACAGGCCTATGGGGAAGCATCGGCCGTTTAAATCCTCTGGAGCATTGCATCCTTGCCAACCTTAAATTAGACCAAGCATCAAAAAAAGAGGTATTCATTTGATAGTTTGCGGGACGGAAAGGCCTCATCGTCTGAGGTTGTGCTAAAAAATTGCCTTTGTGGATTCGATTTTGGCATGTGTGCGCTGTTATGATTTTTTTCCCCGTAATTATATCTAAACACCCTTAAGTTAAAGACAATGATTTTTAAGTAAATTCCAATATTTTTTTAGCACAATTGTATACCATAATAAGACATTGTTTCAGAGATTATTTATTTAACTAAGCTTAAATCAAGCAAAAACTTTAAACAAATTTTGCCAAAAGGTAAGAAATGAAGAGTTCAGATGCAAAAGCCTCTAAATGCCATTTGAAATTTTCTTCTTTAATGATGATTTTTAACAAACTTGTATATTTAAGTTCAGTAATTTCACTTAAATAACAATTAATAGATAATTATCATTTCAATTTAAGTGAAATTACTGAACTTAAATATACAAGTTTGTTAAAAATCATCATTAAAGAAGAAAATTTCAAATGGCATTTAGAGGCTTTTGCATCTGAACTCTTCAAATATAAACTTAATTTAAGACATATTCTCTGAATACAATATAAATTTAAACAAGACAAAAACACTGCATAAGAAATTATTTTGTAAAGCAAAAAACAATTCTACTTACTAATGAAACAAAAACAATACTGAAAACTACCTTAAAAGAAGATCTTACAACATGATGAGACATCGAGATGTATAATGAGAACTGCCATGTGAAATTCAACTCCAAAAATAAGTGGTGGCAATAGAACCTCACGGCTCAAAATCAGCATAAGGCATTTGACAAAGATCCAAAGGCCTCTCTTATGACATGAGAAGGATTATGAAATCTTTTCACCCACAGTTAAGAGACACAACTCAATTACCCGATACTCCATTAAAGCGGTACCCTTGTTTTGCATTCATGCATTATATCAAATTCAGAGACGCTACGACACAGCACAAACAAACAGGCATGCAATCAACCTTAACGTTTTGTTTATTATCTACATGGTCCGGAATATTAATAGGCTCTCTAACCCAATAAAAGCGGCTATCTGTCTTGATGAGGCATGTGATGCAGGGCCCGGGGGCTTTTGAATTTATTAAGCAGTTCATAAATTTAGCCAGTGGAGTCTTGTGTGTATTTAAGATTCATGCCATAATGTATTTCATAATGACAGACAACTGATGGAATAGTCCTGACTGATTTATAGTGGATCTATGTATATTTATCTTTTACTGTAGCAACAGTACAATAGATTCAATAGAACAATAGATGCTCCTTTTCTTCTCATACATATATTTAAATTAAGTAAATTAATACAATATATATATATATATATATATATATATATATATCGTGATTAATCAACTCCAAAATAAAAGTTTGTTTACATAATAGACGTTTATGCATATATAAACACACACACAGGCTATATATAATATATAAATATAATAATATATACAAACATTATGTAAAAGAAACTTTTATTTTAGAATTTAATACTAATTGAATAAAGACTATTTTGGACATGAATGGCAAGCAATAACATGTATTAATATGGATTGAAAACATTGTACATTGTACATGAAAACAATGTACATGAACATGAAAACAATGTACATTTATTGGATTCCCATGCGACATTTATGTGCGATACCTATGTATATTTAAAGAAATTGACAATGTCGACGTAGTAGACCTGTAATAATTATTTGCTGTTTTTTTATTTTTTATTACAATTTTTTGTTGTGGTAAGAAAAATGTGAAAATAAACAGTTTATAAAGAATTGATTAATCGTGGTTTTACGGGACAAATATAATACATATACATATATTAACACACACAC